ACACAAAAACCAGAGAATGGTAGGGGAAAAGTAGAGATAAAGGTGGGGTTTGTTTCTTATTACAAAAGAAAAAAATAACTCCTCAGTAGTCTTAACAAAAGAATGGAATATTTCACACTGGGAGAAAAGACATTGGGATACAAAATTTCAAGTGTTTTGACTCTAGCCCTGTCCCCATATCCTTCAAGAGCAGAGGGAGGAGACAGTTAAAGCAAACAAGCAATTCTGTAAAAATTACTTAGAAACCCTACAGATTTAGATTTTAAAATTTAACTTCTATTTTGTTTTTTAAAAATTTAATATATCAAAAGGCCTGCTTTAGTGACATGTTATTCCCACCAGAAAATAACCCCAATATCCCCTCTATCAGTAACATGCTCAAGTTGACCAGCTAACTCTTACCTGTAAACTCATGTGGACAAGTATATGTCTTTTAAACCAAAGCCATGGGGATCAAGTGACTGCTAGTAACATGTCATCTGTTAACTGACCAGTATTCATCTTCTCCAGAGGGTGGGCAGGGCACAGAAACCCTAAAGTGGTCATGAGGGACTAACCGCAAATCAACAACTTTTCAAGCACTACGTTCCTCATTCCTTACTCAAAAGGGGCTACTTGATTTTGATCTAGACTATTTGCCTCGAATTTGGTACCCCGTGACCTGTATGTTGTTTTCCTTCAGCAAAATACACATAAGACACGCAACTATATATATAAATTTTTTGTTTTTACATTTTTTTTTTTTTTTTTTTTTTGGAGACAGAATCTTGCTCTGTCGCCCAGGCTGGAGTGCAGTGGCATGATCTCAGCTCACTGCAACCTCCGCCTCCCAGGTTCAAGCGATTGTCCTGCCTCAGCCTCCTGAGCAGCTGGGACTACAGATGCCTGCCACCATGCCTGGCTAAGTTTTTGTATTTTTAATAGAGTCAGGGTTTCGCCATGTTGGCCAGGATGGTCTCAATCTCCTGACCTCGTGATCCACCTGCCTCGGCCTCCCAAGTACTGGGATTACAGGTGTGAGCCACCGCACCCCACCCTTGTTTTTACATTTAAATATAAAAATACTGCTCTGTTTTGTGTGATAAATAGAGGACCAAGCAAAAAGAACCTTTTCTTTTTTTAAGGTAGGGATATCCATCAGTTTATACTGAGCTTTGTGTTCTGAGGGCATTTCACCCCAAGCCAGGCTAGTTCCACACAAGCAAGAGACCAAGGCCATTCTCCTCCCTGATCCCCAATCCCTACCTTCTCTCTTAATCCCTAATTTTAATAGAAAGTTGGTTATAACCTCTTAAGAAACATTTCCACCACAAAGGGAAGTCCTAACCTAACCAGAGTTAAGTCAGGTCTTCCCCTCTCAGGTACTTCAAAGAAAAAGTTCCCATCCTGCAAACATGCACTCCGTTCCGATAGCTACGCTTACTGAACAGGCACACCCCATTAAATGGAAGCAGTGGTTATGTTTTACCACCCACCTCCCCACTAATGTACTAAAAAGCGTCAGTGATAGGGAAAAAAAGGAGGGTAAAGATGTGAATTAATTAATTATGTGACCCCTCTATCCCAGCCAAACAAATAACGCAAGATTAACTGGGCACAAGGAATTTAAAAAAAAGACCTTGGCATTCCATCCTTTGAGTTACAATTAGGACAACTGGGAGAGGGGAAGAGTTGGAGTGAGAGGAAGAACTAGGAGGGGCTTGACAGCTGGAGGTCTAGTCCATTTAGTTTTTGTAGTGGAAGGGCTCAACTCCGGTTTGAAAAGACACAGGCAGATGAGGGCTTCTGTCGCCGAAAATGGGTCGCATTTGGCAGAGAGGCAGTGATCTTCAAAGTAACCCTTCTTCTCCTGGCCAACAGTCTGGGGAATGTGTATGCTGGCACTATAATGGGCTATAAGAGCAGAAAAGTCACTGATGTTGGAAGTTTCATGGAATCCAATTAGGTGCCAGGCCGGGCAAAAATGCGGATGTGGTACTGCTGTCACTTGCTTAGTTTCTTGATGGCCTCCTCAGTGTACTTCAGACCATTCTCCTCCCGCATGGCCTTGGTGCTAAAGTTGGTATGGCAGTCTGAGCCATTCCAGTCCCAGGAATGGGCTTAGGATCAAAGGTTGCTATCACTCTGATGTCTTCACATACATGATGCAAGATGAAACAGGTCACCCAGAAATGATCTTCCATGCTGATTCCTTCACAGCATCCAATGTGGAATTCCCACTGGGCAGGCATGACCTCAGCACTAGTCTCTGCAATCTTGACTCCAGCATACAAGCAGGTCCGGTAATGAGCCTCCACAATATCCTTGCCATAGACTTTGCTCCCATACCACAGTAATACGGACCCTGGGGCTCAGGGAGTCCATTGGAAGGCCAACCAAAGGGGTGCCCATCTGTCTCCATGAGGTTATATTCCTGCTCCATGCCAAACCACGGGTGCTGGTTGCTCACCATGTCCATTATCCATTTATAGGTGTGCCTCAAATTGGTCTCTGCAGGCTTTCAATTGCATTTGAAAACTTCACAGAATACCAGCTTGTAGAGGTCCTTGTGGAAGGGCTCCCAAAACATGGCAGCAGGCATGAGATACATGTCACTGTTAGAACCTTCAAAGTACTAGAGCCATCAAAATTCTACTCAAGTAACTCTTCCACACTCTTGGGCTCACTGTCCAGGGTCTGGGACTTGCAGCACAGTCTTGCTTCAGTACCATCGACTCAGATATACATGGCCTGGACTTTCTCACACTGAGGCAGGGACATGTACACCTGCTTGATGCCTCTGTTTAAGTGGGAGCTTGCTGAGGTGGTCATGGTGGAAGGTGTTTTGGGCACTGAGCAGGCAGGTAGGTAAAGGTAGGCTGCGAGAGTAGGGTGAGGAGAGAGGAGGGGAGGCCGCTGTGCTGCTCAGAAACTCTGCTCTTCTCCCATTCTCAGCTCTACCTTTGTATCCTTTTAATTAAGACACTTAAATCTTTTGCTCATTTTCGAATTAGGTTGTCTTTTTGAAAAAATATTGATTTGTAGGGTTTTTTTCTTTTATAAAGAGATGGGGTCTTGATAAGTTGTCGAAGTTTGAGTTCAGTGGCAATTCACAGATGCAATTATAGTGTACTGCAGCCTAACTCCTGGGCTCACACGATCCTCCTATCTCAGCTGCCTGAGTAGCTGGGACTATAGACGCACACCACTATGCCTGACTTACAGTTCTTGTAATCTGAGCACTAACCTCTCACTCTGAGGTTTATGTTTTCACTCTCTTTATGTTATCTTTTAATGAACAGAAGTTCTTAATTTTAATGTAGTCAAATATATCAATCTTTTCTTTTAACACTGGCACTAGTCGTGACTAGTTTAACAAATCTTTCCCTATCCCAAAGTCATAAGGATATTTCCTGTATTATGTTTGAAAACTCTTAAGCCTTATAGATTAGCTTTTTTTGGCTCTCCATATTTAAGTCTTTAATACATGTGGAAATGATTCTTGTGTGTGGTAGGAGGTATGTATGCATTTTCTGTATCAATGGTATATTATGTGTACATGTCCCAGCACTATTAATTAAACTGCTCATCTTTTCACTGCCGGTGCCAGTTTTGTCATAAATCATGTTTCCATATATGTGTGCATTTGTTTCTGGGCTTTCTATTTTATTCTGTCGGTCAATTTGTTTATGAGTGTGCCAATTCTACACTGTCTTAAATAATATAATATTAATAATAATTACAATTTTTTTTTGAGACGGAGTTTCACTCTTTCACCCAGGCTGTAGTGCAGTGGCGCGATCTCGGCTTACTGCAACCTCCGCCTTCCGGTTTCAAGTGATTCTCCTGCTTCAGGTTCCGGAGTAGCTGGGATTACAGGCGCCCAACACCACGCCTGGCTAATTTTTGTATTTTTAGTAGAGACAGGGTCTCACCATGCTGGCCAGGTTGGTCTCAAACTCCTGACATTGTGGTCCGCCCACCTCGGCCTCCCAAAGTGCTGGGATTACAGGCGTGAGCCACTGCACTTGGCCAAGTAATATAATCTTAAACTAAATTTTTGATACCTGACAAGGTAAACTGCTACACTTTGTTGTTTTTCTTTAGGAGTGTGTTGGTAGTTTTAAGGCTTTTATTCTTCTATTTAAGGTTCTGATAGGAATTGCATTGTCTCTGTAGATTGTTTTGGGGAGAACTGACATCTTTAACATATTGAGTCTTCCACTCCATGCACATTTATAAATCTCATTTATTTAGGCCTTGTTTCATTCATAAATTTGATTAATTATATCCTATAATTCTTGCTTTCCAATGTACCAATATTTAACATGCATTTATTTACTTTTTCTGGAGTCCCACAGATGATCCCACAGTTTTAATATTTAATTACATTTCCATCTTGGGCAAAATGTTTGAGAGAGGAACTTGACATTACATCTTGGCAGAATGCCAATGTTAAAGACTATCTAACAAGGGAGGCAGGATGAGGAAACAAGATTAGCTTCTCCTAAATTGTCTTCACTGTTTTGTGGGAAGTTTGTTTCTGAAAGATCATATACATATTTTGAAGCCAAGTGGAAATTTTGTTGTTGTGCTTTACAAACAAAGTACTTAAATACTTAATTGAGTAGTTCATTTATCATTTGGATTATCCACCATTCATTGTCCTCTGCCTGAACAGTACAACTGAAAACTGACTGAAAAGGGCTGATGTAATTACAGACATTAATATACAACTGAATGCTTTAAAGACGACTTCTCATTTTCAAAGAACTTGCTTATATTACAAAACTAGTAAAATAATCTAGCATTTTCAAAGAGAAAACAAAGAAAGAACAAAAAACTCTTAATATTTATGCCAAGTAATAAAAAGTATTTGACAGAAATGATATAGATACTGACGCTTCATCCTATTAGCTGTGGTAGGTTCAAGAACTGATATACTGGTAATTACAAAATATTCTGGAAAAATGAAAAGTATTCTCAAATGAGAGGAATAATCTGAAAGAACTACAAATTACCTGTAGAGTACAATTCATCATCCTTATTATGTAGTCAAACTGTTGATGGTCTAATATTGCTCGGTTTTGCTGGACATGCAAACCCAATTCATCAGTGAGACACTGTCTTGCTGCCTTTCCTTTAAGGGCTCTGAGTGCAGCAGGAAGGGTCTGAGGACAAGAGAGGTACAAATGACCAAATGGTACCACTGGGGGAAACAATAACTTTCAAACAATCATCTTGAAAATTCAAATGCACCCTGTAATTTATTTAACACAATTATTAATAAAATTAAACTCCTAGGGAAGAGGTGATTTATTAGTAAGACCAATGATAAAATAGATTTGTAGTTATTTTTATACGTAAACCAGCAAGAAATATAAGAGAATTATGTGATAAATTGAAAAACATTTAATTTCACTTTTTTCTTCAACTTAATAAAACTTTGGTTACCAAATTGACTGTTGCTTCAGATTATGAGTCAAAGCCACAGATACGTAAGACATCTTTCTATAACTAGTCAATTTTCCATGGCAAGAACAGAAAGAAAAATTAAAACAATAAGAAATACGAGTGATTTCATACTTTTAAACTGGTTGGCTGCTTAATCACTATTCAGCTTTAATTTATGACTGTAAAGTTCTACAATCTCTTTTCATTTAAATATCATAAAAAAGGAAAGAAAAAGGACTCGGAGTTGCAAAAATAGATTATCTCTAGGTGTATGCGTTAAAACTCTTTTCACTTTACAACAAGAACATCCATAAAGATGCCTCCTTCAGTTCACCATGTAGGATTTAGTTAATTTACTTCACATATAATAATAATAAGCTTATTTAGCTAAAAAATCAGAACAAAGGAGAAAATAAGAAGGAAGTAGGAGGGCATGATATCACTAAAGGTAGGCATAAGAAATAGGATGTGGAAGTTGAAAGCAAGAGAAGTGAAAGACTCCAACTATAAGAAAACACAGAAACCAAAAAGCACAAAATGTAAAGGGCACTGGGTCAGTTAGGGTAAAGGTAAACATTTCTATAAGCTTTACCAGTCTCTGAAAATAGATATTCAGAACTATGACAATGAGTCAGTAAGAAAGGGTTATATTATGTTCAGCATGTTTCACTGAACAAGGCAAGAAAACATGCTCTAAAGAGGCACATTTAAGTTGAATACTACAGTTCCTATAATCCATTACATATTCTAACTAGATTCTTTGCAATACATAAAATTATATTAAAATGTTAAGTTTTGGCCAAGCGTGTTGGCTCATACATGTAATTCCAGCACTTTGGGAGGCTAAGGTGGCTGGATCACTTGAGGCCAGGAGTTCAAGACCAGTCTGGCCAACATGATGAAACCCCATCTCTACTAAAAATACAAAAATGAGCCGGGTGCAGTGGTGCATGCCTGTAGTCCCAGTTACTCCGGAGGCTGAAGCAGGAGAATCGCTTGAATCCGGGAGGTAGAGGCTGCAGTGAGCCAAGATCACGCTACTGTACTCCAGCCTGGGTGACACAGCAAGACTCTGTCTCCAAAAATAAAAACTAAAATAAATAAAATGTTAAGTTTCTAAGTAATATGCCAAAATAGTGTTTAATGAACAATGTTTAAAAGTTTGAGAGAAAAAATTACTATGAATATTTTTCTGCTGGTCATATAATTAAGCTTGGCCCAACAGCTTTATATCTTAGACACTATTCATTTAAAATGATCCAAACAATGAGAGGAGACTTTATTAGGAAAAGGGGCAGAATTAAAGAAGAGAAGCTGGCCGGGCGCGGTGGCTCACGCCTGTAATCCCAGCACTTTGGGAGGCTGAGGCGGGCAGATCATGAGGTCAGGAGATCGAGACTGTCCTGGCTAACATGGTAAAATCCCGTCTCTACTAAATATACAAAAAAATTAGCCAGGCGTGGTGGGGGGTGCCTGTAGTCCCAGCTGCTGGGGAGGCTGAGGCAGGAGAATGGCATGAACCCGGGAGGCGGAGCTTGCAGTGAGCCAAGATTGCACCACTGCACTCCAGCTCGGGCAACAGAGGGAGACTCCGTTGAAGAAAAGAAGAGAAAGCTGGTAACTTCAGCATGTAAATCTGAAAGGGAAATGATAAACGCTTACTTGGGAAAGATGATATTTCATTACCTTTTCAGTTTCCAAAATTTTATTTTCAAATATGAATGAGATGCAGTTTCTGACAACTTCTAGTCTCTGTGCACTGTTGAAAACTGTCGTCACCTTGTCCATTATCGAAACTAGTAAAAGAATATAAAGAAAGCACAAATAAATTAAACTCCTTTGGTAATTACAAAAGCAAAGAGACTATTACTTTAAGACTGTAGGTTGAGTGTGGAGGCTCACGCCCATAATTCCAGCAATTTGGGAGGCTGAGGTGGGATGATCCCTTGAGCCCAGAGGTTTGAGACAAGCCTGGGCAACATAGCAAGCCCCTTCTCTACAAAAAATACAAAAATTAGCCAGGCATGGTGCCTTGCACTGTAATCCCAGTGACTCGGGAGGCTGAGGTAGGAAGATCACTTGAGCCCAGGAGTCCAAGGCTGCAGGGAGCTAGGACAGCACTACTATACTGCAGCTGGGTGACAGAGTGAGACCACATTTCTTATTAGAAAACAAACAAACAAAAACTATTGATATGACCTACACTTTATTTTTTCCCTTAGTACAGAGCATTGAAAATATTCCACATCATTATTTTGATTACATGTTGCAGTGCTGAAGTATCAGGCTAGTCGATTAATAATTTCACAGGATAGATTCTAATGAGACACTTAACTTTTATGCGAACTAATTCACATTGCAAAGTAAAGTTATATTAAACAAGGGCAAACATCTATTTGAAACTTTGTAACTAGTAATATTGTTAATATTTCTAAGATATTACTAAAGAAAAACTACATTCCACAAAATATTAGATATTACATATTTGAATAGAGGTGACTTGAAGGAAAGAAGTAGTGCAAAAAAGAGAAATAATCATGATCAATGAACTGCTATACTGGCTTAGGAAAGTCACTTTTTAGTCATGTAAACTTAGCACCTTTCACCTTTTACCATAGGGTTAGAAAATTCTAAGGTATTACCTAGGCTACTAAGCTGGTTACCTAAATAAATTTAACTTATTAAAATAATATTAGAAGGATATAAATCAAAGTACTATTTATACAAAATTTATACTTTCACAAAGAACTACACTATGTCATTTGTTTAAATGAGGTAGTATCAATAATTCTTTTTTTGTATAAATTTAAGGGGTACAAGTGCAGCCTTGTCACATGGACGTACTGCATAGTGGTGAAGTCTGGACTTTTAGTGTAGCCATCAACCAGAATAATGTATATTGTAGCCATTAAGTAATTTCTCATCCCTCAACCCCTTCCCACCCTCCCAGCCTTCTGAGTCTCCAGTGTCTTATTATTCCACACTTGATGTCCATGTGTACAGATTATTTAGCTCCCATTTATAAGTGAGAACAGTATCAATGGTTCTCAAGCCAAAAAGACTACTTATACTTTAAGGCTACTCTTTGGATTCTAAAGGCCCAATCCTTTTACCTTCTCCCATACCTAAGAAGAAAGACTATCATATTTTACTCATTAGTATTCCTTTCATCTCATCAATACCAAACTTATATTCTTCAAATAATGTTTTAAACTTTTTTTTTTTTTTTGAGACAGAGTTTCGCTCTTGTTGCCCAAGCTGGAGTGTAATGGCGCGATCTTGGCTGCCTCCCGGGTTCAAGCAATTCTCCTTCCTCAGCCTACTAAGTAGCTGGGATTACAGGCATGCACCACCACACCCGGCTAATTTTGTATTTTTAGTAGAGACGGGGTTTCTCCGTATTGTTCAGGCTAGTCTTGAACTCACGACCTCAGGTGATACGCCCACCTTGGCCTCCCAAAGTGCTGGGATTACAGGCATGAGCCACCGCACCCAGCCTTAAACATTTTTATAAAAATAATTATATGTTTACAATAAGGTGCAAACATAATACAAAGAAGATCCTTGTACTCATCACCCAGCTTCCCTCTATGGTGACATCTTTCATAATTATGTTTTCTTAGAATCAGGAAAACAACTGGCACAATACAATGAATGAGACTATAGCCCTTACTTGAATTTTACCAGTTTCTTCAAATCATTTTTAATCATGTAACATTAATTTTCTGGTTAAACTGATTATTTCGCATGACTTTTCTCTCTGAAATGCTCATTCATAATTGTGGGCTCTGGTGCTTCTCACACACATAGGTTGGTGGCATAAACTGAAAATCTATCCATATTAGAATAGAAAACTTACAATCTGCAATAACACATACTTCATTGAGAGAGCAACATCTTTAGGTTTATAAACTTTTAATTCTAAAATATCTTTAGCAGTATTTTAAATTTTCTTTAGGCTGAGTTTTTAGGAAACATATTTTCTTTTTTTTTCCTTTTTTTTTTTTTTTTGTAAGACAGAATCTTGCTCTGTCACCAAGGCTGGAGTGCAGTGGCACGATCTTGGCTCACTGCAACCTCTGCCTCCTAGGTTCAAGTGATTCTCCTCCTGCCTTAGCCTCCCAAGTAGCTGGGACTATAGGTGCATACCACCACGCCTGGCTAATTTTTTGCATTTTTAGTAGAGATGGAGTTTCACCATGTTGGCCAGGCTGATCTTGAACTCCTGACCTCAAGTGATCCGCCCACCTTAGCTTCCCAAAGTGCTGGGATTACAGGTGTGAGCCACCACACCCAGCCAGAAAACATATTTTCTTATAATAAATATGTTTACTATCTGGAATTTTTTTCCTTTGGAGAATCCAACTAATTCACATTTTATACATGCACCTAATTAACCAACTTCAAAATATATCAAGAAAAACAGGAAAAACTGAGAAATAGGGAATTCTGCTATTATAATGGGAGATTTTAATATATCTTCCTCAATAGCTGAAAAAAAGGGATAAAAGTTAGTAAAGGAAGACAACTCACAGATTGGGGAAAAATTTGCAAATAATATATCTGGTAGGGGACTTAACCTGTAGAATATACAGAGTATGCTTACAACTCAGTAATAAAAAGGCAAATAGCCCAATTTCAAAATGGGCAAAGAGACAGTGAAATGGCCAATAGTACATGAAAAAATGTTCAGTATCAGTGGCTGAAATTATAACCCTTATACACTGCTGACAGAAATCTAAAATGGCACAACCGCTTTGGAAAATGGTTTGGCAGCTCCTTAAAACATTAAACATAGAATTACCATATGACCCAGCAATTCCAATCCTAAGTATACATCCAAGAGAACTGAAAACATATCTACACAAAATCTTGCACATAAATGTTCACAGCAGCATTATTCATAATAGTCAAAATGTAGAACCAACTCAAATATCCATCAACTGATGGATAAATAACCAATGTGATATATATCCAAACAATGGAGTATTATTCAGACATTTAAAAAGAAACGAGGCCAGGTGCAGTGGCTCATGTCTGTAATCCCAGCACTTTGGGAGGCCGAAGCGGGCGGATCACGAGGTCAGGAGATCGAGACCATCCTGGTTAACGCGGTGAAACTCCGTCTCTACTAAAAATACAAAAAAATTAGCCAGGCGTGGTGACAGGTGCCTGTAGTCCCAACTAGTCAGGAGGCTGAGGCAGCAGAATGGCGTGAACCTGGAAGGCAGAGCTTGCAGTGAGCCAAGACGGCGCCACCGCACTCCAGCCTGGGCGACAGAGCGACACTCCATCTCGAAACAACAATAACAACAACAACAAAAAAGAAACAAAATACTGACACATGCTACAACATAGATGTACCTTTGAAATATTATGCTAAATGAAAGAAGCCAGTCATAAAAGATTACATATTGTATAATTCTATTTATATAAAATGTCCGGAATAGGTAAAGCTATGAAAATAGAAAGTAGATTACAGTATAATGCTGAGGAGGAGATGGTTTGGGAAGGAAATGGGGAGTGACTGCTAATAGATGTGAGGTTTCTATTTAGGTTATAAAAATATTCTCACCAGGTGCAGTGGCTCACGCCTGTAATCCCAGCACTTTGGGAGGCCAAGGTGGGCAGATCACCTGAGATCAGGAGTTCGAGACCAGCCTGACCAACATGGAGAAACCCTGTCTCTACTAAAAATACAAAATTAGCTGGGTGAGGGGGCGTATGCCTGTAATCCCAGCTACTCAGGAGGCTGAGACAGGAGAATTGCTTGAACCCAGGAGGCAGAGGTTGCGGTGAGCCAAGATCACATCATTGCACTCCAGCCTGGGCAACAAGAGTGAATCTCCATCTCTCTCTCTATATATATGCTCAAATTAAATAGTGATAATGGTTGAATGAGTGTGTAAATATACTAAGAATCAAGGAATTGCACATTTTACATTGGTGAATTTACGGTATGTAACTTATATCTCAATAAAGCTGTTATTAAAAAAAGAAAAGATTCTATAGTGGCAGCGGTTGGGTTATGATTACCCTTTTTGGGAGGCAGTGAATGAAACAGGGTTTCTAAGTATTGATAATGCTCTGATTCTAGCTACAGGAGTTTGTTCACTTTGTGAAAATTCATCAAATTGTACACTTTTCCTTTTTGGGTCTTACATCTTTATAAAAAGTTTACTCTTAAAACAGACAGACAAATACATACCAACAGGTGGACCAGCTGGCACAACACATTTCTTTTCTACTCTTGTGGCAGGAGGTGCATTCTGGTTCTTAGCAAGGTTTTCCTGTATTAATTCCTGAACCCGGGCTTCATTAATCTTTGGGAAAGGAAGAATATGAACTCGCAAGTGGGATCCTTCTGTTGGCCGCGGAACTTTCTGGAATGCCATATGAGGGTTTGGATTCTCCTGTAATATCAGACATAGGTAAAATTATTCCAAGTTAACAATGGCAGATCGCCAGGAAGGGAGTGGGAGCTTACAGAGACACGAGCTGGGTGGTTATACATACATTCATACATACACCATAAAACATGAAGTACCAAAATCTTACTTCTTCTTACATGCTCTATCAGCAGCATCTGATACAGCTGGGCATCTGTCTTCCTCTTCCATGAACACTTTCTTTACTTGGTTTCTAGGTCTTCTTGCTACATCTCTGTCTATTTCTCATCTCCCTACTCTCTTTAACAATGTGAATACCTCAGGGCTCAGTCCTTGGGTCTTTTTTTCTGTTAACACTCCTTCCTTGGTGATCACTTCCAGTCTCCTATCTTTACCATAAAAACACCAACAATTCACAAGTTTTTTTCTTTAAACAAGCTTTCTCCTAAACCCCATACCCACATGTTTAACTCTCTATACAATATTTTCAGTTGGATTTTTAAAAAAATTCTAAACCTATGTTGTCCAGAATGGAGCTCTTACTCTTCACCCACCTCTATCCCTGCTTTGTTTAGTCTTCCTCACATCAGTATATGGCACATTTATTTTTTCCAATCACTTAGGCAAAAAGCTTAGAGTTATCTTTAATGCCATTCTCTAACACCCAATTATCCGTTCCTCTGCAGATCTTGCGGACTTTACCTTTAAAATGTTTACAACTTGGCTAGTCACTTTGGTTCAAGTCAACACCTCATGTTACAGCACTACAACAGTCTCCTAGTTCCCCTGCTTCCACCTGTACTCCTTCATTCAACATTGCAGACTACGTGATCTAGTTAAGAGTATGTCGATTCATCACATAACCATTCTATTCATTCCAATGGCTCGTCATCTCACTCACAATAAAACCCAAGGTTCTTAAAACAACTTACAAAGCCCTACAAGATGTGGCCTTTCTATATGATGTGTTCTGCCATGATTTCTTTCATTTTTTCTGCTCTAGACACACAGAACTTCTTGTTCCTGCCTCAAACCCTTTGCACTTAACTGCTCTCTCTGCCTGGAATGCCTGTGCCCCATGAATCTGTATAGCATCCTCCTTCCTTTCTTGCATTTCTTAGCTCAAAAGCCACCTTTCCTGATCACCTTATCTAAAATTATACTCTCTCCCCCAACACAATCCCTATCCCTGTTACATTTTTCTCTATATCACTTATCACTGTCTCACATACTTTACATTTTATTTAACTTGTTTATTGTCTATCCTTCTCTCCAAAAAATAAAGCTCTATGAGGGTAGATGTATACCTACTGCGTCTAGAAACTGCCTGGCACATAGCAGGCACTCTAAATCTCTTCCTACTGCATCTTAATGAGGGGGACACAATGTTGAACACACATAAGAATTATAAGAATTGAATTAAATGTGTCAGCTAATACTTTTATAGACTGTTGGGGTTGGCATGAACTTTTTAGTCATCTAGTTAAGCAGGATTAGATCTCAAACACTCCAGGAAGAATGGAATCCATTCTTTTATAAAGTTCTCTAGGGAAGGCTGCTTTACAACTATTCTTGACCAATTCTAACACTTACCCTTTGCAATAAGAAAATTCCTTATTCCCACTGAACCTATGTTATTGATGCATAGATTAAACTCAATACTATCCCATACATCCTCTTGATAGTTAAAATGGCCAACTGCCATCACCTTTGAGGGCTGCTCCCCACAATTCTTTTTGGTTATATGGCCCAGACCTGGATAAAGAAAACGTTGGGCTGAGGCAGATGATATAGTTAGTATGTCTCAGCAATATAACAGAAACACACTGCTTCCTCCCACTGCTTTAAGTGTCAAAACACATGGGTTCTAGTTCTTGCTCTACTCCTTATTATGTGATGCAGGACAAACAACTTTGCCTAAGTTATATACTTAAGCTTATCTTATATAAGGCTCCTCAGAAGGTGAAATCAGATTTAAAATCTGTTCTTGCCAAAGCAGCCCTCATACATGCTCTGTATTTCTCCCCCATATCTAGCAAAGACAGGGAAAAATAAGTAAGTAAATCCTTAGTCCAACTCTTAGTAATCACTCTTTCAGAATCAAGTGTTGAAAAACTGTTTTAGAATTCTGTCTAGATTTAACACCAAGTCAACATTTAACATTCACTGGCCTATAGTGTCTAAAACTGCCCTTTTCAAAAAGTAGTATTTTTGTTCTCTGTTCTTTAGGCATGACTCTTACCCACATACTGTCTTCTCAAAAATAATAAATACCAATTCTCTAAAATATATTGGGTAGATACCTTTTTTCCAGGCAGGTCAGGTAATTCATGTGGATCTTGAGGTCTAATTATTTAAAGTATATTCATTACTTTGGTTTCTATTTATACTTTCTTTATAATAAAATTAAAACTCTAAATATATTTCCCATGAAGTAAATATTATAATAAAATTTAAAACATAGAAAATAAAAGTAGAAATAATCTTAGTAACACCAGTATTTTTTCTAGTTTTATATATATATATATATTTTTTTTTTTTTTCTCTATCGCTACATTATCTGTCTTGTCTTGTTCCAAAAATGACTTGCGGTGGTTTAGAAAAAGCAGGATGCACTGGCCAGGCACAGTATCTCATGCTTATGTAATCTCAGCACTTTGGGAGTTCGAAGTGGGCAAATCACTTTAGTCCAGGAGTTCAAGACCAGCCTGGGCAACATAGTGAGACCCCATTTCTACAAAAAATAAAAAATTAGCCAGCCATGGTGGTGCCTGCCCGTAGTCCCAGCTACTCAGGGGACTAAGGGAAGAGGATAGTTTAAGCCTGGGAGATGGAGGCTATGGTGAGCTGTGATTGCACCACCACACTATAGCCTGGGTGACAGAGTGAGACCTTATCTCAAAAAAGGAAAAAAAAAAGAAAAGAAGGATGCACATATCACTTTTAGTCAAAATCTCTAAAGGGTTGGTCCTGTAATTTGGTAGTTCATCCTAAACTTTATAGGGGCATACAAAGACCAAAAATAGTCAAGGAAATTCTGAAGAAGACTTAAGTGGGAGAGTTAAGATTTCCAGGTATCAAAACTTATATAAACCTTTAATAATTAACACAGTACAACAACTGTTATTAGTGAAGAGTTAAAAGGATGAATGGAATAGAATAGAGAGTCCCAAAACAGGACTATGTGAGAAAATATGATAGGTGGCATGACAATTCAGGGGGAAAGGTTAGATAATTCAATGAGAGAGGTAGTTTAACAAAGTATTTTTAGTTCATAATCTCTGATTTCAGAACGCCTGGTTTCAAACCCTAGCGTGGCCACTTACTAGCACTGTGACCTGGTGCAGCGTCAATTCACTTACCCTGTGTTTTAGTTTTCATATCTGTAATGAAGATAATAATATAGTACCTACTTCATAAGGTTCTTATGAGTATTGAATGAGTTGTTACAGTAAAGCTGTTAGAACACACACACACACATACACACACACACACACCATCCCAGAATGAATTTAAAGTCTGTTTTCCAAAAATTTTGGCTACATTCATTTTAAAAGTATTTATTCTCTTATTCTCTGTATATTCTATGGCATGGTACCATGCTTCTGTAACTAAAGCCATCTCTTTCTTCCAAGATTTCCATCATATTACCAACTACTTATATTTGAGTAATTATAGTAGTAGTATCTGATATGTTTTTTGTTTGTTTTTGAGACAGAGTTTCACTTTGTTGTTCAGGCTGGGGTGCAGTGGTGCGATCTCTGCTCACTGCAACCTCTGCCTCCTGGGTTCAAGTGATTCTTCTGCCTCAGCCTCCCAAGTAGCTGGGATTACAGGTGTGCATCACCATGCCCAGCTAACTCTTTTGTATTTTTAGTAGAGATGGGGTTTCACTATGTCGGTCAGGCTGGTCTCGAACTCCTGACCTTGTGATCCGCCCGCCTCGGCCTCCCAAAGTGTTGGGATTACAGAAATGAGCCACCACACCCAGCCCTCCAATAAGTTTTAAATAGAAAACATTTATGTAAAAAAGATGTTGCTATAAGTTATTAATAGTCTTCCCAGAAGCAATTAGAAATATTGTAAACCAAATCCATACACAATTTAGAATTATAAGCATTTAAAAGATCATGTTAAAACAAAGTTCAAAGTTGAATATCTGTAGTTGTATAGATATTTTACACCAAAATGCAGATTAGGGGTTAACTTTGTTAAATTATGATATATTTAGCTGTGTTTAGAAGATTCAAAAAAGACTCATGCCCCAGAATCTAATAGTATTTGGTTTTCTGGCTCCTGAGTCTGTATACTGCTGCCCTCTAACGGGCAGCATGACAAATGTAAAGGACCACATTTGCCACCTCGAACCTAATTTGGTCACAAAATGACTCTTGAGAAGACAACAGCAATGAGAGGAGGTTTAGGGTAGGGCTCACTGTATTTTGCATATACTTAAAAACATCTGCTCTTACTTGTAACACAAAACGTGTTTGGACTGGTCCCTTGAAGGTCACCAAGCTCATTAAAAACTACAGCCCAATTTTGGGTTGAATCTCCTTGTTGAAATAAGGAAATACATTATTTTCTGACAGTACAAAGCAGCAGCCAAATTTTCATCTCTGATTCCAGAGAAATGCAAATATAAAGTAATAAACAAGGGCTAGACAACCAAACACTTACAGTGAATCTGGCAACATTTATTTCCAAAGTAACCAAAATAAACTACTGAAAAAAGTTTGGCAGAATGCACTGTCTTTTAAATTTTGAATTTGGATGACGATTTTCAAGGAATCGTCTTTATAATCCTGCTTTAAGAGTATACTTTAGTAATTTGAGGTATAATGATTTTTTTCAGACATGAAAAAATGACATATACACATATCATCTAGTCTGCAACACTCCCCCAAACCTCCCAGCTTTGGTAGACTAAGTGAGAATATGCCTAGGGGTTACAGAATACAAGGCTTGAAACTAATTTCAAATAAAAGCAAAGCAAGGCACAACAAAAGCCCCAAATCCCAATG